AAACTGAAACATTTTCTGAATATCCACACTTGAGTTTCCAACGTCTCCAAAAACCTTAAAAAAAAAAAAAAAAAAAAAAAAAAGGCAAAAAGCTAAAAATCTGGCTCTCTTTGCGCACTGGTATAGTCAATCTGCCATAGTGTTTGCATGGCCCATAATGGTCAGATACCCCTTTCATCTTTCCAGGACAGTAAGGTGGAAGGGGGGGGGGATGGTGGTTAACAACCCTGCTATAGAAAAACTTTAAACGAAGGCATATGTGTAAAAGAAGACAGGACAGACTACTCACCTTTTCTGCTGAATCGGCCACCAAGTTCATCTTGGATGTTGAGAAATCATCTGCAGTCCAAAGCTCTTGGTGGATCCTCCCTCTGACATCCACAGTGACTCAGTGGTTACCACACTTGCCTTGCAGCGCTAGGGTCCTCGGTTTGAATTCCAACCAGGACACAACCTGCATGGAGTTTGCATGTTTTCCCAGTGCTTGTGTGGGTTTCCTCAGGGTACTCCAGTTATTTATTTATTTCTGGTACTTATAGCGCCGTCAATTCACGCAGCGCTTTACATACATACATACATACATACATACATACATACATACATATATATATACACACACATACACACACACACACACACACACACACGTATGTATGTATGTTCACATCAGTCCCTAACCCTCGAGGGGCGTACAATCTAAGGTCCCTAACTCCCATTCACACATACTAGGGACAATTTAGATAGGATCCAATTAACCTACCAGCATGTCTTTAGAGTGTGAAAGGAAACCGGAGTACCCGGAGGAAACCCACACAAGCACAGGGAGAACATGCAAACTCCAGGCAGGAGGTGTCGTGGTTGGGAATCGAACCAACGACCCTAGTACTGCCAGGCGGGAATGCTAACCATTTAGCCGCTGTGCTGCCTGGTTTCCGCCAACACCCCAAAGGTAGATTAATTGGCTTAACTGAGTATGCCCAAATTGGCTGCTTCAAAACTTAAGCACTTTGGGTCCCCAGGGAGAAAAATACTATAGAAATACTAATTAACTAATTAAGGTGAGAAGAAGGAACCCTCGAGAGCGCCTGGGAATATGGAGATCAGAACTCTAGAAGTGTCAGCTTCCCTTTGGACATTTGCAGGAGATCAGCAGCACTGAGATTATGATTATACAGTATTTATATAGCACCCAAAGGGTATGCTCAGTGCTGTACAGTAGCAAGGGGGACATAACATGAGACAAGACAGTAACAGTACAATACATGAGGGGTTCGAGGGCCCTGCTCTTTCGAGCTTACAATCTAGGAGGGAGGGGAAGGTGGTACAGGAGGAGATGGCTGTGTGGGATGGAGTGGTGGGAGGAGTGGAGGAGGTTGTTAGGTGAGGTCGGATGTTAGGTGAGGTTGGGGTAGGCTTCTCTGAAGAGGAGGGTTTTCAGGGTGCACCTGAAGGTGAGGAGGGTAGGTGAGAGTCTGATGGATTGGGGTAGGGAGGTCTGATGGATTGGGGTAGGGAGTTCCAGAGGATGGGGGAAGTCCTAGAGAAGTCCTGAAATTGGGCGTGGGAGGAGGAGACCAGGGAGCTAGAGAGTAGGAGGTCCTGTGAGATGTAACAAAGGATAAAAAAATATACTAAACTAAACAAAACAAAACAAAAAAAACAAACAACCCACAACCACACACAAAAGCAAATTAAATGTCACTCGCTCAGGGTTTCACACCTATTTAAAAAAAATAATTTACTGACTATGGGGAACTGGAATTGACTACAGGTAATAACATTCCTCCCCCCCAAACCCAGAGGCATTAGGGTGGTTGCAAAAGAATTCTAAATTAGTTTTTTTTTTTTAATTTGTATCAACAAGCCCAGTTTTTGTATATTTATTTTTACAGACACGTACAACAAAGGCAGCTATAAACTGAATATTAAATATGAATATGTAAACATTGCATGTGACAGATGCTACGCCTGGGCAGGTTGGCATCGCACTGTAGAGTAACAAAGTCTACGTTAAAGTGGTTCTAAAGTCTCAGCCCGGGTTCACATACATGCCGTATATCGCATGCAATTCGCACAGGAACCACACCTATATCACATGCTATTTGTGTGCGGTGCGAATGGAGCCTTACATTTTGTATGGCTGTAATCGCACCGCACCAAAAAGGTGCGGGACCCTTTTTTGGGTCCGCACCAGAATCGGATTGCATGGGTATTCACACCTATGTGACCCGATTCTGCACATCACACCGCGTTTTGTGGGCCTCTTTCGGGGTGTTGTTAACATAACATACACACCAGCAGCGGTTCGCATGAACGGTGCGATTCTGATGCGGTGCGGAATTTGCACAGAAAACGCTGAGAATTCCGCACCGCATCAGTGTGATCCAGAGCTCAAGGTTTTTTACCTTCATGTATTCTATGCATGAAGGTATAAAACCTTCTGTGTGTAGTAGCTCCCCCCCCCCCCCCCCCAAAACACTTACCCGAGCCAACTCCCATATGGAAGAAAAAATATATTTGAAATGCTACAATTTCGGCATATATACCGCATTTTTCGCTCCATAAGACGCACTTTTTCCCCCCCCAAAAAGGGGGGAAAATGTCGGTGCGTCTTATGGAGCGAATATAAAGCGGCCGGTCCGGTATTTCCACCACCTCTATGTCAGAATGCCGGGCCGGCCGCTCAGCTGTTCTCTGCAGCAGGAACTCACTTGTTCCTCGGTCCAGCGCTGTAGTCTTCCCGTGCCGGCTTCTTCCCACCCCTGCATCTGTGACAGCCGGGTGCCCACTGCGCATGCGCGAGAAGGGCTGCGCTTTGTGAATGGTCCGGTGTCTTCTGGGACACGACAGGTCCCAAAACACGCCGGGCCATTAACAAAGTGCAGCGCTTCTCGCGCATGCGCAGTGGGCACCCGGCTGTCAAAGTCGGGTGCCCACAGTATAGGAAGGAGAACTCCCCGGAAGTGGGAGCAGGTACCTGTCAAATTCAGGTACCTGCTCCCCCTCCCTCCCTAAAGGTCCGCAGTCGTGCCGTGTCCGCAGTCTCTCGTCATCCCCTGTGCCGTGTCCGCAGTCTCTCGTCATCCCCTGTGCCGTGTCCGCAGTCTCTCGTCATCCCCTGTGCCGTGTCCGCAGTCTCTCGTCATCCCCTGTGCCGTGTCCGCAGTCTCTCGTCATCCCCTGTGCCGTGTCCGCAGTCTCTGGTCATCTCCTGTACTGTCCGCAGTCTCTGGTCATCCCCTGTGCCGTGTCCGCAGTCTCCGGTCATCCCCTGTGCCGTGTCCGCAGTCTCCGGTCATCCCCTGTGCCGTGTCCGCAGTCTCTGGTCATCTCCTGTACCGTGTCCGCAGTCTCTGGTCATCTCCTGTACCGTGTCCGCAGTCTCTGGTCATCTCCTGTACCGTGTCCGCAGTCTCTGGTCATCCCCTGTACCGTGTCCGCAGTCTCTGGTCATCCCTGTACCGTGTCCGCAGTCTCTGGTCATCTCCTGTACCGTGTCCGCAGTCTCTGGTCATCTCCTGTACTGTGTCCGCAGTGTCTGGTCTCTTCCTTTACTATGTCCGCAGTCCATTGGTTCAGAATATTTTTTTTCTTGTTTTTCTCCTCTAAAACCTAGGTGCGTCTTATGGAGCGAAAAATATGGTATATCACACATACACACACATATATACAAATACACTGTATGTTGAAATGCGTTTTTATTACAAAATATATGAAAAATATTTTTTAAAACACACATTTCAAATATACTGTATGTCCTTAAAAATACAAATCTATGTAAAAATATGTTAATATTACCTTTTTATATGTTAAAAAAAAATCTGAATATATTTATATTGAATATATGGCCAAAATTGTAGCATTTCAAATATATTTTTCTTCCATGTGGGTTGATTCAGAGATATCCACAAAAGCCTTGGTTCTCTGGGGACTCTCCCTCCTGATGGGCTGAGGCAGCAGCGGGAGCCACTAGCTCCTACTGCTGCCAATCACAGCCAGTGAGCCAATCAGGAGCGGGAGGCAGTGGGGCCGAGCTGTGGTTCTATATGTGAATGGACACGCAGAGCCATGGTTCAGGAGCGTGCCTTCTTGTGTGACCCCATAGCAAACCGTTTGCTATGGGGGCACCAGACAGAAGGGAGGGGCCAGGAGCAATGATGGAGGACCCGAGAAAAGGAGGATCCGGGTTGTCCTGTGCAAAACCACTGCACACAGCAGGCAAGTAGACATGTCTGTTATTTTAAGAAAAAAAAAAGAAGACTTTAGTATCACTTTAAAGAGACACCATCACCTGGCCATTTACGGCAAAAGGACAGTAGACGCAATTCACGAAGAGTTATTTTTCTCTTTACAATTTGAGATAAAATGCCTCCTAGCCTTTTGCAAAAATTTTGTTGAAATTCACAAAAAATGCTACTAAAAGAAAGCATGAGTTATTTCATCAAAATGTGAGGTACATTTCTCATTCGATATCCAGTGGGATGGATACAGTGGAGATGGATTAGAGCTCCTGTCAGTTTTTATTGCTAATAAAAGAGGTGAAATTGATTACAACGTAGAAATCTGCCAACTCACTAAGTCAGTGCGGTCCCTGCAGCAGATGTATTCATGCAAAAAAAAAAAAAAAAAAAAGTTACTGGAATGCCAAAAGGGAAGCTGCTTTCACAGAACACACGTGGTGTATCAAAAACAATGTCACAGTTACATTACTGAAATAAATATAAAATAAAAATAAAAAAAATCAAATATTGATTAATAATATCCATCCAAAAAAAAAAAAGTAGTCATTGGGGGAAATTTCCCTTCACCTTCTGTCCCACAGCCAAAACAGGAAGTGTGAGAAAATCCCTCCAAATTTTAAGAATCTCTTGAGAACCCAGCCACCCCTCTGTCCAATTATACCACGTCCACCGCCCGCCCCTCTGTCCAAGTATACCACGTCCACCGCCACCCCCAAGTATCTGTCCAAGTAAGTATACCACGTCCACCGCCACCCCTCTGTCCAAGTATACCACGTCCACCGCCACCCCTCTGTCCAAGTATACCACGTCCACCGCCACCCCCTCTGTCCAAGTATACCACGTCCACCGCCACCCCTCTGTCCAAGTATACCGCGTCCACCGCCACCCCTCTGTCCAAGTATACCACGTCCACCGCCACCCCTCTGTCCAAGTATACCACGTCCACCGCCAACCCCTCTGTCCAAGTATACCACGTCCACCGCCAACCCCTCTGTCCAAGTATACCGTGTCCACCGCCACCCCTCTGTCCAAGTATACCGTGTCCACCGCCACCCCTCTGTCCAAAGTATACCGTGTCCACCGCCAACCCCTCTGTCCAAGTATACCACGTCCACCGCCAACCCCTCTGTCCAAGTATACCACATCCACCGCCAACCCTCTGTCCAAGTATACCACATCCACCGCCAACCCTCTGTCCAAGAATACCACGTCCACCGCCACCCCTCTGTCCAAAAACACCACGTCCACCCCTCTGTCCAGGTATACCACGTCCACTGCCACCCCTCAGCCCACGTATACCACGTCCACTGCCACCCACCAGATTTGTTTGAGATCTTGCGTCTTTCATGAATCCATGATGTCCGTTACTTAAAACTCATCTATGTGGTCTTAAATTAAACTCTCTAGTATCTTCCCAAATATAGAAGTTAAACTAACAGTTCTATAATTAGTTGGTAAAGACTTCGATCCCATTTTAAATATAGGCACCACACTGGCCTTACTTTAAAAGCAGAACTCCAGCCAAAAACTATTTTTTTTGCGTTGCTGTGCGCTGGGGAAAAAATGTAGACATCTTGCATTTTATTGCAGAACACAAAAATGTGTTACAATGAGAATCAACACGTCAACACACTGCTGTGCTACAGAAATATATATATATATTAAAAAAATAAATAGAACAAAAAGAAAACTAATATTATTTAGCAATGCATTGCTTCACATGTTATGAACACAATAATGCCGGCTGTGTAGTGTTTAACAGCAGAAGCAATCTGTTTACCACTCTATCCAATACAAAAAAAATTACTAAAATTGGCTAGTAATTCAGAAAACGTCATCAGGCAACCACTGGGTGGTTCTGTGGGAACCCATAGCACTGTAAAATCTACCACATACTACGTAGGTAGCATCAACTGAAAATTAGAAAAATATGGACTTCATTAGGCACCAAGGAACAAATATAAAAATCAAAAGCAACTTTATTAGTACATCATGCTGATCTCAGTTTCTACCCAGTGTGATAAAAAGCACCATCACCCTGCATCCGGCCTCCCCGGACCCGGCCTTCGCTACATCCGGCCTCCCCGCACCCGGCCCTCGCTACATCCGGCCTCCCCGCACCCGGCCCTCGCTACAGCCGGCCTCCCCGCACCCGGCCGTCGCTACAGCCGGCCTCCCCGCACCCGGCAGTCGCTACAGCCGGCCTCCCCGCACCCGGCAGTCGCTACAGCCGGCCTCCCCGCACCCGGCAGTCGCTACAGCCGGCCTCCCCGCACCCGGCAGTCGCTACAGCCGGCCTCCCGCACCCGGCAGTCGCTACAGCCGGCCTCCCCGCACCCGGCAGTCGCTACAGCCGGCCTCCCCGCACCCGGCAGTCGCTACAGCCGGCCTCCCCGCACCCGGCAGTCGCTACAGCCGGCCTCCCCGGACCCTGCATTCGCTACAGCCGGCCTCCCCGGACCCTGCATTCGCTACAGCCGGCCTCCCCGGACCCTGCATTCGCTACAGCCGGCCTCCCCGGACCCTGCATTCGCTACAGCCGGCCTCCCCGGACCCTGCATTCGCTACAGCCGGCCTCCCGGACCCTGCATTCGCTACAGCCGGCCTCCCCGGACCCTGCATTCGCTACAGCCGGCCTCCCCGGACCCTGCATTCGCTACAGCCGGCCTCCCCGGACCCTGCATTCGCTACAGCCGGCCTCCCCGGACCCTGCATTCGCTACAGCCGGCCTCCCCGGACCCTGCATTCGCTACAGCCGGCCTCCCCGGACCCTGCATTCGCTACAGCCGGCCTCCCCGGACCCTGCATTCGCTACAGCCGGCCTCCCCGGACCCTGCATTCGCTACAGCCGGCCTCCCCGGACCCTGCATTCGCTACAGCCGGCCTCCCCGGACCCTGCATTCGCTACAGCCGGCCTCCCCAGACCCTGCATTCGCTACAGCCGGCCTCCCCAGACCCTGCATTCGCTACAGCCGGCCTCCCCAGACCCTGCATTCGCTACAGCCGGCCTCCCCAGACCCTGCATTCGCTACAGCCGGCCTCCCCAGACCCTGCATTCGCTACAGCCGGCCTCCCCAGACCCTGCATTCGCTACAGCCGGCCTCCCCAGACCCTGCATTCGCTACAGCCGGCCTCCCCAGACCCTGCATTCGCTACAGCCGGCCTCCCCAGACCCTGCATTCGCTACAGCCGGCCTCCCCAGACCCTGCATTCGCTACAGCCGGCCTCCCCAGACCCTGCATTCGCTACAGCCGGCCTCCCCAGACCCTGCATTCGCTACAGCCGGCCTCCCCAGACCCTGCATTCGCTACAGCCGGCCTCCCCAGACCCTGCATTCGCTACAGCCGGCCTCCCCAGACCCTGCATTCGCTACAGCCGGCCTCCCCAGACCCTGCATTCGCTACAGCCGGCCTCCCCAGACCCTGCATTCGCTACAGCCGGCCTCCCCAGACCCTGCATTCGCTACAGCCGGCCTCCCCAGACCCTGCATTCGCTACAGCCGGCCTCCCCAGACCCTGCATTCGCTACAGCCGGCCTCCCCAGACCCTGCATTCGCTACAGCCGGCCTCCCCAGACCCTGCATTTGCTACAGCCGGCCTCCCCAGACCTGCATTCGCTACAGCCGGCCTCCCCGGACCCTGCATTCAACTTCTGGCAGTTGTGGCTGCAATCTTTTTTGGTCTACCTGACCTTGGCTTGGTATCAAGAGATTCCCAAACTTTCCACTTCTTAATAGGTGATTTAACAGTACTGATTGGCATAGTCAAGGCTTTGGACATCTTTTTATGTCCTTTTTCCATCTTTATAAAGTTCCATTACCTTGTTACGCAGGACTTTTGACAGTTATTTTCTGATCCCCATGGCTCAGTATCTAGCCTAGTCAGTGCTTCCATGTAAGAGCTAACAAACTCATTAACTATTTATACACTGACACTAATAGCAGTTTATAAAGCCACAGATGTGGGACATTAACCTCTAATTGGCATTGTAACCCGTGTGTGTCACCTTGTGTGTCTGTACCAAGGCCAAACGATCCGGGGGCGGAGACTCCTGATCCGGGGGCGGAGACTCCTGATCCGGGGGCGGAGACTCCTGATCCGGGGGCGGAGACTCCTGATCCGGGGGCGGAGACTCCTGATCCGGGGGCGGAGACTCCTGATCCGGGGGCGGAGACTCCTGATCCGGGGGCGGAGACTCCTGATCCGGGGGCGGAGACTCCTGATCCGGGGGCGGAGACTCCTGATCCGGGGGCGGAGACTCCTGATCCGGGGGCGGAGACTCCTGATCCGGGCCATTTGGGTGATTTCTGTATTTATGATTTAAAAAGGAGCCAAACAACTATTTGATAATAAATGGCTTCATATGATCATCATCCTTCAATAAAAAGCATTTTTTGGCATGATCAGTCATATTTTCAATATCAATGCCAAAATTTCACAAGTTCTGCCAGGGTGTGCAAACGTTTGAGCACAACTGTATATTGAATCCACGGGTTCCATACACCATCAAATTTCTTCAAAATATTTTGCAGGATACATGTGAGCTTGTCATTGACCATAATCCAGTTTATTTCTTTTTAATATAATCAGGTGGAATAGCCGATTGCTTCCAATGTCTAGCTATGTGATTCTCGCTGCCAGAAACAAGAGATCAGCTTATGGGATTTCTTGGGAACATTATCAGGGAATTTATGAAAGAGCGCTATCTCCGGGGATCTGCGAATATTTACTCCCGTCACTAAGTTTACCAAGTTGCAAATCCAAAATCTAATTGCAAGTGGACACTGCCACCAGACGTGATACATAGATCCCACCCTGCCACAGCACCGAAAACACATCGCAGAAGCAGACGGATGCATCCTCGCAATCCAAGTGGGAACCAAGTACCAGCGCAACAAAGTTTTATCATTTGCTTCAATTAGGGTAGTATTGATAGAAATTTTCGACAGTGTAAAAGAAATATCTTGCCAATCCGATAAGTCCTAATTGACAGCTAGATCACTGTCCCAGTGCTCCATGTAAGGAAGATTACAAAGCGGATAAATGAGGAGAGAATATACTACAGAGATACGGCCCCTTGGGGAAGCCCTATTCCGGCAAGAAAGTTCAAAGGCGGTAAGCAAAGGCGATGCATCCAATAAAGCAAGCTTCGAGCGCAGAAATGAGACAACCTGGTTATATCTGAAAATTTGAGAAGCAGGTATATGCAATTTATCTTTAACTGCCTCCCGCCCACCATATAGTCCTATGACGGGCACAAGGCGGTTCTCTCGTTCTGGGAGGACGTCATATGACGTCGTCCCATTGTAACCGTGCATGCGCGGCTCCAGGAGCGTGTGGCGATCGGCGGTGCGCTGTGTCCCTCGGACACAGCGGATCACCAAACAACGGAAAGAGCCGAAGATGTCGGCTCGGTCATGTGATCAGCTGTGTCCAATCACAGCTGATCGCATGTAAACAGGGAAATGCCGGTTATCAGCATTTCTCTCCTCACGAGCTGTCACGCTGACAGAGGAGAGACGGTAATCAGCATTCCTCGGATGGGACATCTACACTGATCAGTGTGCCCTGATATTCAGTGTAGCCCCAGCAGTGCCACCTGTCAGTGCTCATCCATGCCACCTGCCAGTGCCCATCATTGCCACATTTCAGTGCCTAAAGGTGCACATCAAAGCCACATATCAGTGCCCATCTGAGCTACCAGTGTCACCAATCAGTGCTGCCTAACAGTCAGTCAGTGCCGCCTAACAGTGCCAGTCATGAGTTGCCGCCTAACAGTGTCCATCAGTGATGCCTGCCAATGCCCATCAGTGCCATCTATCAGTGCCCATCACTACAGCCTCATTAACGCACATCAGTGAAGGAGAAAAATCACTTCTTTACAAAATTATATAACAAAAACTAAGAAAAAACTTTTTTTAGTTCAAAATTTTCAGTGGTTTTTGGTTTAAGAAAAAATAAAAAACCCAGAGGTGATTAAACACCAACAAAATAAAGCTCTGTCACAAACAAAATGATATAAATTTCATATGGGTACAGTGTTGCATGCCCGCGCAATTGTCAAAGTGTGACAGCGCTGAAAGCTGGAAATTGGCCTGGGCAGGAAGGGGGTATAAGTGCCCGGTAGGCTAGTGGTTAAAATACTGTATAGAATATATAAAAGAACCGTTAAGATAGTCTCCTATCCTCAACAAGCCTTTATTGATCCACCAATTAAAAGGGACCGGCTTCAAGCCAGGCACAAATTCAGGATTACAAAAATACAGAACTACAGGTGTATGGGGAGATACCAATGAATTACGATGGTGAACTCTATCCCAAACTGCCAAAGAAAAATGACAGAGTGGGG